GATGTATGCAGAAAGATAAACAACAAAGTTTAGGAAAGGTAGAGCTTTGGCAGTTGCTAAAAGGAAGCTTTTCAGCAGCTCAATGGAACTTCTTTTACTCCTGCCCCAGCCCCAGCCCCATCTTCCAACTAAGAACTACTTTTTCTAGGACTGTTTCAAGATTAAGGTACTGTCTACTGCTGTCTTTCATAAAAAGGATAAAAAAAAAAGGTGTATATTATTTTCATAACACATCTGTCAAATCTAAAGCAAACCGTTTCTCAAGAGATCAATGGGCAAACAGGTTCTCTAAGCTGAAAACCTGAAAGACAGATAGCAGATGTGTCTGTACTGACAAGTCCCTGGTTCAGTGAAGTGCGAGTTGTTTACAGAGGCACCGCATTTCGGCAGAAAGTAGTGTATTTCTTGGGACGTGAGCTTCAGGGGCGCAGCCTTGCCACCATCCATGTCTCTGGCTGCTCGCTTACATCCCTGTATTGCAGTTCACACCCTACCAGCTGTGTTGCCAGACCTGTCCTCAGCGTCATGCTGTTAGCCAGAGGAGTGAAAGCAGTAACCAAGTCCAGGAACTGCTCACAGGGGCTTCACCTTAGAAGCCAGAAAATCCTGGAGTGCTCTCAGAAGCATGTTGTGCCCAGGCTGAATGTCTGCATCTGCACTGAACTGCAAGATGAGGGAAGATCCGTCAGGTTATGCTCATCCTGTCTACTTCCAGTGAGAATCCAAACGTTCATTACAAAGTTCGAATAGAGATTATCTGAATTTGGCCTATATTTAACTCATGATAATGACAGCTGCTGCATTCTGTAACCGTGCACTCTGCCTACGGAGTGCTTTCCTTTCTATCTTTAGATGCTTGCAGCCTCTGTGTGTACAGAGCAAGCCAAAAGAATGGGGTTTGTTCTGCTGTTTATTATAGAAACAGTCTCAGGTCATTCACAATTTCCCTTACATATGTAAGAAAACAATACTGCTTTTATGATTTTATGTCACCTCGGGATGCATATTTCATTTCTGTACAGTTTGGAAAGCTTTGCCAGGTGAAAATTATTTATAAGAATTATCAACTTTTTAATTAGATTTTGAACGTGTACATGGTTCTCTCAGATTGGCTGGGAGAACTGATTCATCACTGAACCCAGATATTGAATGCTTGTGAACAGTGCACAGTGAATCTGGTGACCCTGTATAGATCCATTTTCTGGGGAATCACACTTGTATGCATGAGAGAACAGACTAGTAGCCACGTTCTGCCCCAGATTATTGAAGATGGGACATACAGGAATAATCAGTAGCTGCGTAGGTAGGGCTTGCGTGGGGGATGCTTTTGCTTTACATCTCTGACCTGCTTGACGTTTATTTACTTGTACCAAACACGATTACTCTAGTAGGACAGATGGCATAGACTAGCCCATGCATGGTGTTTGGGATACCTCCTTGTATCCCAGGCAGCACCACTCTGCCAGTGCCTCCCTTTCCTAAAACAGTACATGAAAAGTTCCTGTTTTTACAAAACATTATTTTGCAATGAAATACTTCCAGTCCTACCTAGTCAAAAATGAATAGTTGTTTTCCTGGTTATCTACACACCCGAATAGTGGCACAATTTTGGATTACGAGATGAGCAGTGGCATGTGTCCAGCTCCTCTGATGAAATATTCTGTCAATACTGTGTGGGTAGTGTGTATTTGATAAGAGTAGATCCTTTGCCCCTTTATGGAGTTCAAATTGTTTTTAAAATTCCCACAGACTGCGTGGGCTGATCACTGCAATTGCTAAATGTGGCATTCTTAGCCACAATGTGGCTCTAGTTTGTGCTGCTAATTAATGCAGGTTTGGTGGGGCTCCACACAGGTTATGTCAGAGGCAGAAGCAGCACACTAGCAAAACTCCTCTGGGACAAATCCTCCTTTCATCTTTCCAGCTACGCCAAGGGATGCCAGGGGCAAGCTATCCCTTGCAGGACATGGGCTCCATGCTCACCGTTACTCTGTTGGATGGAGCAAGAGACCCGTTAAGAAAATGCGTTGGGTGAAAAGACTGCTGTGCCAACAGAGAAATCTTCCTCTCTCTCCTGTTTGCTAATGGACCTAACAGTGTATGCATACGGACTCTCACCTAGCTTCAAAAATGGCCCTAACCACAATGCAAGATCAAGTTACCTTCACATCCCATCCCCCTGTATAGACCATGACAAAGTTGCAAGGATTCCAGGAGCTCTTGGCTGCCCTGACACCAGCCGTGTAACATCCCTAAGGGTGAATGGGATAAACAGAGGCAACTGGAGACAGACAGAAGCAGGATGTTGAGGCATATGCACACGGAAACTTGATATATTACAATGTCCAGAACATATGCAAAGTTTCCTTCCATTCCCTTCCCCAAGAGTACAGCTGGACTGTCCCAAATTGCCCTTGAGGACCCACTGGAAGGCAAATAATACATGTAGCTAGTGAATGCCATTTTAGAGACTCAGCTACAAGGCCTGTGGGAGCAGACCTAGTGCTGATTTTAATTTCTGTTAATTGCTTTTCAAAATGGGATGATTAGAACTGCATGTGATATTCGTGGTGCAAGTGCACCATGGATTTCTGCAGTGGTAAAATAGTCTTGTGGCTTTCAACTCCTTTGCTGACACTCTTTTTTCCCTTTTTAACTTCTGCTGTTTCAGAGTGTTCTTTTCAGACAACCATCCATAGTAATCCCAGATCCCTTTAGAAGTAGTGAAATTTGATGCTACCCTTGTATGAATATATTAGTATTTCTTTCCTCAAACTTAACAAATATGCATTATTTTGTATCACCAACATTGGATTCCATTTATCATCTATCATCCTTTTGCAGCTTACATTTTAGCTATCCTGAAACATCTAAAGACATAATTTACAGACATTTCACCTGCATATTCATCTTCTTGTCTGAACCATTCCAAGCCACCTCTGTTAAAACAGTAAGATTCCAGCAAGAACTTCAATAGAATCATATTGATAATGCTACTGTCTATTTCTAATCTCCATTTACCCTTGAAACATGTACTGATGCGTAAGACTTTCTCTCTTTCCTCATCACAGACTCATTTCTTTATAGACTTTGATGAGAAAACCTGTCAAAAGCTTTGCAGAAATTCAATTTTTTCTATCACTGGATCATTGGTACACACTCAGTGACCCCTCAGCTAGCTCTAAAAGATTTTATCACACTTTTAATTGCCTTTTTAACCTATGTTTGTTCCGTTTAGTTTCCTCCTAACTATTCCCCTAATCTTTATGTCCTCTCTTTAAAGGTCATAGCAGATAGTCTTACACTCACAAACATCCTGAATTTGAGTTCACTATGGAGACAGTTACAAAGCAAGAAATGAGTTACATATTGAACTGAATTTTGTCCACCACTCAGGATTAAATCAAGAACTGTTACTCCACGTGTGGAGCTGAACCTCATTACTGGGAATACTGAATGAAATTATGTATAACTCTGTCCACCAAATCACAGAAGAACAGATATAATGGATTTATGAAAATCAAAATAAAAGGAATAAACATCTCTCTTGGCTAAACAAGGGGACCATGGATCTCTAAATTGCTTTAGAAGCTGAAAACATACCAAGGAGGAAAAGAAATAGTTTAGATGGTTATAAACAACAGGCCACTGCATTAACTCAAGAAAAGGAACTTTGAATACCAAAAGAACACCCATTATGTGCCAAAGGGCTATATTCTGTATGAAGCATTAGTATGAGCATTCATCTGTGAATCTTTAAATATTGCAAGTAGAGCATGTATTATTTTATTCATAAAATATCACACTGACAGTTCAATGGTCTTGTCTACATCACCCAGAAAGCCAATAATAGAGCTGACAATTAATTAACGTTTTTCTGACTCTCAATTCTTATCATGGCTTTGAGATTGTAGTTTTTCTTGGGCAGAAGCAGGCTGGAAGGCTCCGAGACTCTTTTGAAGTGAAGCAGGTATAGTAAGAAGCTAGGTAAAAAGAAACTAGGGTCTTGGCTACTTCTGTTTTTGCAGTCCCAACCTGAGCCACCTTTCAACAACCTTATTCTAATTTCATGAAAATACAGGCCATTTTCAAGTGCTCTCCAGTCAGGCATGTACATACTCACTCAGAATCGCTAGCCACCTTTTCCCACACTTAGCCTGAGAGACACTCCTTAATGGCTGGTCTGGGACACTTCACAGTAATTTAATCAAAAGAGAAGTCACTCATGCTCCAGTCTAATACTCAATTACTTCCTTTAAAAGTCAGTTACAAGTAATTATTCTCATCTGTGGGAATGTTTTAGAAATAGATGCCTATTAAACCAAGCAGCTTGAACAGCTTCTCATCCACTTTGTCCCTGAAAAGACTTACCTCCAGTTACGCCATCACCTCCAAGGGAAGTATCACACAGGTCCCTTCTAGAAGTTCTGCTTCAAAGAGAGAATCCCTGAAGTGAACCACTGGCAAATTAGCAAAACAGCATGTGCCAGGTCTGTGGCACTGCTTGTGAAATAATTGCTTATGGTGATACAGACTCAAAAATAGAGGGTACTGGCGACATGAAGGGAAATTACATAACGGAAAGTCTATAGAGAAATCTAGTGTAGGATATACCCATGGTAGGCAGGGCAGGTAAATACCATGAAGACAAATCCAGTCAGTGTCATTGTGCCAATTTTTGCAGCTGCAGATCTACTCCAACACATCTGTCCTTTGCAGTGAAAGTATATCACTCATCCACATCTCTTCCCAAGTTCACATTCACTTCAGTAACCCTGCTTTCCAAGTCTTATAGCCTTTACTAGTACTACAGTGCATCACCACCTAGAGAAGTCTATTTTCCTCCACAGACTACAGACGCCACTAAGGACATTAAGCATCATCTCAACTAGACATGTAAATATTTCATGGTCCCTAACATATAAAAAGGACTGCAGGTAACAGCAACAGAATTAAAAGCAAGTTACGTAACACAAGCAAAAAACTGACAGTGAACTTACTCTGAAAACTTTTTCCACCCTTGCAATACCCTTCCCAAAGATGGTTCCAAGTTGATCTCCAATACCAGCCAGCAAGAAGCCAAACAGTGGAATTCCAAAGATGGCATACAAGATGCAGAAAACCTTGCCTCCAACAGTGCTTGGGGCAATGTTCCCATACCCTGAGGAGAAAAACAATTGTCAGACTCTCAGAACTTATACAGGGCTTTTTAGAAAAACTAATGGGTTTAGAAAAACTGCTGCTCCTGTAGGCATACCCTTGTTCTACATGTAATTCTTTTTACAGACTTTCCATGGCATGATGTCATTTCCCAGGCCAGCTGTCCCCTGTGATTTAGTTCTTCTTGTAGCCTCAGTTACCCATATTTTCTAGAGATTCAGGTCCTATCTAAAGTTGTTGTTAGATTAATTAATCTAGCTTGATTTATCATGGCACAAAAATTCCCCTGTGCTGGCCTGGTGCCTGCACACTGCTGCTTCTCTTGGGCTGTGCCAAGGACTCCCTGATGGGAGAGTGATTCACCTGACAAGGCTTATTTTCAGTGCTTAGCTCACAGTTTCCTCAGCCCCTCATCACACTGACGAATTACACTGCGGCTTCCAAACTGTACCCACGCTACACAAATCTGCCCATGAATTCCTTATTCAGTTCCCCTTTCAATTTGACAATAAAGAGCCCAACATTTGTATTTTATGAGGTTTTTTAATAGCTTTTATCAAGGAAGTTTTTAAGCCTTCCCTCTGAAGATCTTACTCTATTTATATTTTAAAATCGTTATTGATGCAGTAATAAAGGTGCATACATGCCTTCCTTCCATCCTCTGTTAGGGTAACCTGGGGCTGTTGAAAAGATGACAGATTCTGAGCAAGACATAATTACCCAGCTCCACATCCTGAGTGAAAATTTTCATTTTGACCCGAGCATGTTTGGGCACATTTGGTTTTGATTCCCAGCCTTGTAACTCCAGATAAAATATTGGGAACATCTGATACTGGCAGAAAGATAGCTCTCCACCTGTCCTGTGCAGTAAACTACATATGGTCACCATAGTTTGTTCAGGCACTTTTCCCTTCCCCGCACAACCCATGTGAATTTAACCTTAGGAATCTACATAGAGCATTATGACTCCAGTAGCCGTGGTATTTCTGTTAAAATGTTAATGTTGAAAATTGAAAACAAGGATTATGGCAGTAATATTTGCACCTTTTTATTTACAATCAGGTATCTTTATTGAATGTTATAGAGATTTGTATTCTGACTACACATAATTATTTGAATACTAAAAACGATCATACAATCACAAATCACTGATGAAATGAAGTGGGAACACAGAGCAACCAGAGAGATGGAAATCTAAGAGAGTGTCTGCTTCACCTACAGCAATTCCTCCTGGTTCTTGGGAATTAAGGCTGGGCTCCCGGGTCCTAATCCTGTTTGGTTTGTGTCCTGGTTTTAGCTGGGACCAGGATTAGCTCTTCTTTTTAGCAGCTAGAAGAGCTCCGTGTTTTGGTTTTACTCAGAGGCTCACTCTGAGAAGAATGCTGATAGTGCACTGATGGATCCTGTCGTCTTGTAGGAAAACATCGAAAATGGAAAGCTGCTGTATGGAGTCCTACTAGACAGGTCGCAGAAGCTACAGAAGGAGAAGGTGAATCAAGTCAGTTTGCAGAGGTAAAAGCCATTCAGCTGGCTTTAGGCATTGCTGAACGAGAAAAGTGGCCAATGCTCTATCTCTATACCGACTCATGGATGGTAGCAAATGCCCTGTGGGGATGGCTACGGCAATGGAAGCAGAGCAACTGGCAACGCAGAGGTAAACCCATCTGGGCTGCCCCGTTGTGGAAAGACATTGCTGCTCGAGTAGAGAAGCTGGCTGTAAAGGTACGTCATGTAGATGCTCATGTACCCAAGAGGCGGGCCACTGAAGAACATCAAAACAATCAACAGGTGGATCGGGCTGCTAAGATTAAAGTGGCTCAGGTGGATCTGGACTGGCAACATAAAGGTGAAAAATTTCTAGCTCGTTGGGCCCATGATGTCTCAGGCCATCAAGGAAGGGATGCCACATACAGATGGGCTCGTGATCGAGGGGAGGACTTAACTATAGACACTGTTGCACAGGTTATCCATGAATGTGAAACATG